ATCTTTTGTGACTGTTTGTAAGCAAGTGCTGTCCTGTATTGTCAAGAAAAACTCCTGGAAAACTATTTGTTGAAATGAGTGGGAACCCTGATGTACCATAGCAGTGGAATATGAATTTACCACTACCAGCTCTGATATTATTCCCCCTCTATCCCCAGGTTCTATCCAGTGTTTATTTGACAAGAGCAACAATCACTACTCTTGGAAGAAAGTGACTACAACAGTACACAACATCATTGTTGGAAAATTATGGATTGACCAGGTAAATTTAAAGCTGCCAAAACCTCAATATCACTACTAACTACCCAGGGATAAATAAATTAAAAAGACATATTTGTTGTTCAAGAATGTGTTGCTTATGTTTCTACTAGGTTTATCCTCTAAGTCTTAAACAGCAAAACACTTAGTCACCTTCCTTTGTTCTCTTCCAGTCAGGGGAGATAGATGTGGTGAACCACAAGACAGGAGATCGCTGCCATCTCAAGTTTGCTCCCTACAGTTACTTCTCCAGAGATGTACCAAGAAAGGTGGGTCTTTTTCTTTATATTTTTCCTTACAGGAAGATGTATAGTACAAAGTCAGACGATCCGGTAGTATAAAAATCTGTAGATTTAAGAATCTGTAAATGTGACAATGTGAACAAAAACAAAACACTTAAAGTGTGAAAGCTGTTGTGTTTAATTGCATTAGATTGTACAACTGTACCTAATAAGGAGGCCACTAAGAGTGTAAGTTGAATGCGCTCTAAGCTGTGTTTGTCTCTCAGGTGACAGGAGTAGTAACGGATAAGGATGGGAAGGCTCATTACGTGCTATCTGGAACCTGGGATGAGAAGATGGAGTTTTCCAGGGTAATGCAGAGCAGTAAAGGCGAGAATGGCACTGAAGGCAAACAGAGGACTGTCTATCAGACCCTCAAAGCCAAAGAAATCTGGAAAAAGAACCCTTTACCGTAAGTTTCTGTTTTAAAGGTCTTATTGAAAGTACTTTTACACAAATGGAGCTGTAGTGGTAGGGAAGTGTCTACACCTTGTTAATCGTTTTAGCTTTGATCCTTTATGGTGATGACCTTTTTACAGAGAGGGAGCAGAGAACATGTACTTCTTCTCCTCGCTGGCCTTGACGCTCAACGAACCCGAAGAGGGAGTGGCACCTACTGACAGTCGAAAACGCCCTGACCAGCGGTTAATGGAGGACGGCCGCTGGGATGAGGCTAACGCAGAGAAACAGAGGCTGGAAGAGAAACAGCGCACCACCCGTCGAGAGAGGGAGAGGGAGGCTGTTAAAGCAGTCAGCCCGTCTGAGGAAGGTAAAAACAAAAAAGAACATTAGGTTTATTAGAGTTAACCTATATGTCTTGTGTTTCCGTCAAATGTCTTTTTTTTCTGTCCATTCATCTTTTTGTCCACTTTGTCTGTCTTGGAATCCCTTGTCTGCTTGTTTCTGTCTCATCCCTAAGCTGTCACTGAGGATTCAATCAATGATTCACCCTTGAAAAGCAAGTACTCTTCTCTTAGTCTTTTCCAACCTTTGATCTACACCATAAATGAACTCTAATACAAAAAACACATGTACAATATGTTTGTGTGTGTAAAAGGAAGGTGCTAAATGTCTTCTATTCTCGCCATCTTGCAAACACTTCATTCACCTTTTTACCATCCCCTCATCCATTTCTGTCCCGTTTAGCTGATGCAGTGGAGACTGGCACAGAAGCAAATGAGGTTTCTGATGAAAGCAAGTATCACTTCACAGCTTTATATAATATGTAAACTTTTAAAAGTGCTTTGTGTAGCATTTTAACAGAGTAGCGAGGAAGAAATGACCCGTATACTGTATATCCATGGGAAGTCGGTAGGTGTGTTTCTCAATAGTGACTTCACAGTTACTAAAACAAGTACTGATATTTGTGGAGAAATAACAGACAGAGCTACACGTGACAGATTGATAAGAGGTCATATATTACTCAATTATCATTAAATATAATTCACCAGCACTGAGATTTGTCATTTATATCAGCATGTACACCGCCACCAAGTCAGATAACATTTGAAATCACCTGGTAATCTATGTTGCTTCATAGCACAAATGGGAAGGAGTGTTTATTGCAGACAATAATGAACTTAGGAAGCAGAGCTCTTCTTTATGATGGGGAAGTGATGCTCTGTATGAGGTAGAAGTCAAACATTGTCTCATCTATTGCTTTTTGTTTACAGTTAGTATATTTCCTTACCTTATTATTGACATGCCTATTTTGCTTAAAATGCTACACACAGCACTTTTAAAATAAACATAAACGATAAATTTGTGTGGATTTTGGATGCTGTTTGAGTTGTGGATTCACATCTTTTTTTGTGCTGGTGTTCAGCTGACACAGAGGACTCTCCCCCTCATACACCTGTTGCATGCAAGTAGCTCCTTACATTTTCGTCTTCAGATCATACCCAGTCTTTTGTTTTTAACTCTCAAGAGATTCATCCTTAATTCTTCTACTTTCAGCCCCTTATGGACCATCGCCAAACCCTTATCTAAGCAAGTATTCTGATCATGACATACAGTGCAATTATTTTATTAAATTGTAGTTTAATGTAGACTGAGAACCCCTCCACTCATCTTCCATCGTTTCCTCTTTACATCCTTTGCAATTTGTTCTCTTAGTGGAAGGCAAGGAAGGTCCTTTTGGAGCTCAAGTCAAAAGCAAGTAACATCAGTGTTGCTCTCCCTCATCCCCCATTTTATTTATTTATTCATTTTATTTAGATTTGTCTTTGTAGACTTTAGGGAACCTTATAGAAGACTGTAGCTGACTGTAGAATGGCACAAACATAGTACTGAATGTTTTAGAGTAGCATTTGTCTGTCATTGATTCAATTGAGTCCCAGAGAAGTAAGTTGGGGCATTAGTTGTTGGTTTTTATGGGGGGGTTGCTACAGCTTGATATAAACAAGAAAGGAGGAGAGAAAGAGGGGATGATAAGCAGCAAACAGCCAGATGTTGGTGTTGGGCTCATGCCCACTGCAGCAAGAACCCAGCACCCAAACAGGGTGCCAGCTCCACCAGGCGAGCCACAGGGCGCCCCGGGGCTTTAGTTTTGAGCCTGATTCCCTCCACATGTCACACGGCACATGAGGAGTCTATAATTCCCCTCCATTGTTTTGTTTTTGCTTTGAATAAGGTGCATCTGAAGTCGAAGTGATCGGAAACATTAAATTATCTCTATCTCAACCATCTGAGAGCATATCTAAACTTAATTGAAGCACGATGTGTTGTCATGGCTCAGTGGCTTCTTAACCCTCACCTCAGGTCCCTCTAAAGCTTCTCATTGGTAAAAGATTTTCTTTCTTTTCCTTTTAGGCGCCCATCAAGACAACTACCAAGCCCTGTGGTTCGAGAAGTTGGACGACCCCGCGTCCGGAGAGACCTTGCACGTCTACAAGGGCGGTTACTGGGAAGCGAAGGAACAGGGCTCCTGGGACATGTGCGCTGACATCTTCTGATCCCGGCCGAGTCAACCTGTTTTTCCTTTTGTGGTGTAAAAATGAGAAGATGCTAAGAGGTGACCTACCTTACATCAGATAAAGTGAGGAAGCCTAACATCAACCTTTCTTAAATGTCCTCAGCTTCTACTGATCACCCCACTCAACCCCCCCTTCCCAGCAGTGATTGGCTCAGGATCAAGGGCATCTGGACTTCATATTCAACATAGATACAATGCACATTGTAGCATTGTTGTTACATTGCTGCTGATTAGTGTTCAGAATTCCCTCTCACTGCCTCTTGGGCTTGGTCTTGGTCTTAGTCCACTTGTTTGTTCTTGGGTTCCTTGGTACAGCCTTTGATTTGCATTTGGCAACAGGTTATTCTGGTAATGTCATTATGCATTTTCTTTAAAAGCACTATTGTCAAAGGCGTAGTTTATCCTGGTGACATCTTATAATATACAAGGTTTGTTTGGATAGAGTGAGCTCTTACCTAACATGTAATTTATGTGTTTGTTTTTTGTGCGTTCCTGATAATGATTATTTAGCGATGAGTTTATTGGAGCGTCCCCAGCACAGCAACACTGTAAGTCAAAGTTTAATTATACCCAATGTTTTAGTAGTTCACACAGTAAATATTCACTATACCGGTTTCAGACCACATTAAATGCATAGATGTATGAGCTTCAGTGGTTCTGATTTAAAAAAAATAATAAAATAAAAAACAGAGATAAATACTGTTTATTCAGAAATTAATGGCATATTTCAACAATTATTTTTGAACTGGTATAAAATGTAAGTTTGCCTTTGAATTTATTGTGATTTGCGGTGCTACTTTATTTCCTGAAGTGAAACAAGAAGTCTGGAGGTATACTAGATCCACAAATTAGCCGTTTTTTATTTTTTACACTCGACTACTTCCTTTCACAATCTGTTCATGATTGTTTTTCCCCCTTATATTCCCCCAGTCCCCCTATAAAATACATGATGGTGGTGAAGAGACGTGAAAGTAGTTCATTGTGATTATACACTCCTCACACATATATATGAGTCTGGTTTTGTCATCTTAAGAATCCCTAATTGTGGATCTTAAATGGCTACATACTTTGTTTCTTTTCTTAAAATTTTTCACTATATAATAATGACATTACATGTTTTTTCTATCTTTTTTATTAATGAAGAATAATGACATTTCTGTGTGTAGCACATTTAATTTAATAGAATATGTGTTCTTTATTTAATATAATAACATTGAATATAAAAATACCAATGGCACTATTGCCAGCAATGGGGGGGAAAAACATTCAGAAGAATTTTTGTTTTTTCATGTTTTTGTTTTTTTTTCCTTCAGCATAAAAGGTAACTTACACTAAATCCATAGTAAATTACATGTACACAAACGTGGGAAAAATCTGTTATGTTTTGTGAGACACTGCGCCCCCGAAAAACATGACGTCCACCTGACATATAGGGGGAGTGGCGCTTGCATTTAAAAGATTTGTGAAGGGGGCGGCTCAGAATAAACTGCGTGTATGTAAGTTGCTGTTTGAAGAATGTAGCTGTTGATCATTGAAAGCGTTGAGTAAGATGAAATCATCTCGTGTGTAAGATTGACTCTAACCCTTATGTTTAAGATTAAATGTGTTATTAAGTCTATTTCGATTCTCCAACCGAGTACACACATTTAAGGCTTGTATTTTCATACATAAAGTTTGTGCTCTTACTAATACTTGGTTCAACCAAGTATTCAATTCTACTTTCAGAGTAAGTGTTGAGGCCGACATCGAGCAGCTGAGATTAATTTGCTCAGTTGTCACTGAGCTGTGTGCTTATTTCTACTGGCTTGATGATTTAGTGAAGTGAAGGAAAACGTGAGGCAAGTGTTTTTGTCCTCCGTAGTTTCCTTCAATTGATTGATCATAGCTTTAATCTTGATTTAGGTTATTTTAGTCTTTGTGTGTTGCGAGTGTAGACTTTTAACAGACAGCAATAAGAGTGCCTCAGTGCATATACATGTGGCACAAAATGAAATGTGTGAAGGGAGAACTAAAACTGCAAAAACTGAATTCTGTCATTGTATTTGTGTCTTTTGTTATTCGTCATGAGTGGAAGGACTGCGGTGTGGTGGATGAAAATCTAAATTTAATTTTATATATTCAAGTGTACTTAAGGGGAGAACACTGAAAATGAAGATCACAAAACATAATGTTGCAAATATTTCTGTGTAAATATATTAAATAGTAAAGTAATTGTGATATTAACTGGTTATATTGATAGAGAATCTAATGGTGGTGATGCACTTTTCCTTTTCTTTTTTTCCCCTTCTCACAACTGGATGTATTTCATTGTCTGAGCTGAGTGTACCATGTTACCACGAGTCACCCTCTACTGGCTCAGATAGCTTTATTTAAATTATATGAAGTTCTGAACCATTCCCTGCTATTGCTACATACATCATTTAAACAGATGAAGAAGTGTGTGTGTGTGTGTGAGGAATGTACAGCTAGATGCCACACTACATCTCTATAATGACAGAATGAGTTCACAGGTTTCTGTCTGCCTGTCTTTTTCAACATATATAATTATAATGTTGATTTTCAGCCACTGCTCTCTCTATTTACATAGCCCCATTATTCCATTCAACCTTATTCACCCCTTTCATTGTTTCCAGCTATGATTTTTGCCCTGCACTTTGGACACTGTCACTATACACAATGCCACAAGATCCCACAATTCATACAAATTGACCGGTGTCCTTGCACTCATGCAAAGTACATCCATTATCTTTCATGCCATTTGTGATTTGACTTATAAACGGTCAACTTTTGATGTTGGCTACTGGAGAGTTTGTCATTTTGTGAGTTTGTTTTGAAAACTTTTCCTATGTTCAGTAATTGCAAAGATACTTCCATTTGTTAAAATATACATATGTATTGACTCACGGCTCTGAGCATACTTTCCACCTTTTCTGTCCTTTCGGTGCAGTTTTTCTTTTTAGCAGGATTGTGTTAGAGGTTGACAATAATAAAGTTTGAATGGAGATGAAGTGCATATGTTTGTTGTTTTTTGATTTTTTCCAGAAGAAAAATGTGAAAAAATGGCTTATACTAGTTATTTTAAGGATATAGATACTGTTAACCATATTAATTAACAAAACACTTTAGCGATACTCACCCGGGTGCCACATAAATAAGACATTAAAGCAACAACCAACTGTTTAATTCAATGAGTTTTAAATTCAAACTCAAATATTAATTTAATTTTAAAGTCATACTGTACTGTGTGTGCTGATAAATACTTGTACTGATGTCTAGGTAGAAATGTACTACAGCATCTGTGTGGTGTAATTTATTGAGGCTATACTATGAGACTACTACTACTACATTTGCATTGCTAATTATGGCCTCTTACAAGTAAACCAGCAGCCTTGAACTGAAGCATTTTAATAGAATTCAGCCATTATTCATTTATTATATACATCTGGGCTTTTCCTACTGTGACTCATAAAATGGTATTTTGATTGAACCACAGTTCAAGATGTGTTAAAATTATGTCTCCTTTTGCTGTGAGTTGTCACATTAATTGTCAGTATCAGTTTTGAAGGATTCAGATCCTTTACATAAGTAAAATCAGCAATACCACCATGTAAAAATAGAGAATACTATTAGAAAAATGTACTCAAGTATCAAAAGTAAAATGGTAAATGAGTGTTATACTGTATTAATAGATCATTTAATATTTAATATGTAAGTATTTTAATGTAGCTGTCTGACTTTAATCTATAAAAATGTATCATCAGCTGATTGTATGTTTAAGACAAATTCTAATTTGAACCTAATAACTGAACTAGTGACTGTCAGATATATCTAGTAAATAGTAAATAGCAGTAGTAAACATTTCCTTGAGGATTGTAGTAAAGTAGAAGTATAAAGTAGCATCAAATGGAAATACTTAAGAAAAGTAA